CAACATATGGATTATGAAGGGCACAAACATTCAGACCACAGCAACTGCCTTGATTACTGGATAAAGGAGCTTGGTCCATTGGGTAGACCAAAGGAAACCACTAAAGGTGGTTGTTCAACGAATGATACCATCGACAGTGGGCTTAAGAGAGGTAAATCGTCTTGAAGATGAAAGTGTGTAGGCCAGATTGGGGAAGTGGGCGGTGGGGAGAGACCTAAGTAGGAGACCAGTTATTGGGCTTTTGCAGTAATTCATACAAGAAGTGACTAAGACATCCACCTGGATAATGAATAAGGATAAAAATTACATGATTACCATAAAAATCGATAGCTTTGGGCTGCTTTCATTGTTTAGTTTTAAACAAGTTTAACTTGAACTACCAACATCCAAATAGGAGACACTGGATGGGAGGTTTTGGAGATGACTGGGCTAGAGAAAGATTGGGAATTATTAGCATAGAAGTAATTAATGAAATCACAGGAGTAAATGAAGTCACTAGGGGACACTTGATTACAGCAGAACCTGGTGGATTTCTAGGATGTTAGAGGGCTCACATTCATCCTTCCAGACTCTGCCTCAGTCTAGGTGTCATCTCCTCTGGGAAGCCTTCCCTGGTCACAACCTCCCTGCCCCCACCCCCACGGCTGACTTTGGGGTCTCTTCTCTGCGTGCACAGCACCCTGCATATGCCCCTAATATTTATCACACTGTATTATTGTTGAGTGTTTACCTCTTTGTTTTTCTTGAGCTTCTAGAAAGGAGGTAGCAAAATTTATTCAACTTTGTATTCTTCTGGTCTATGGAAGCCTCTTGAAAAATTTTCACTGAATATAACCAAATTCCATGACTTGTTGCTTACCCAAGGAAGAGGTCCTTTAACATAGCCTCTCTCCCCTCCTCTCAGCCAATTCTATCACCTCCACTCAGCTAGTTATTCTTCTTGGGGTATAACCTCCACCCTTTCCACTGCAATTCAGCATCTTCTTTGATCTCCAGGGGAGAACAGAAAGCGTTCCTGATCTCTTTTGAGAGACGGCAATACTGACCAAAAATTGTACCCTCTCGATCCCAGATTCTCTATCCTCCTCAGTTTGTAGGACCAGGTTATAGTTGGGGAGAGGAGGGAGACCTAGATACCCTCTCCTGGAATGTCTGGGAGCCTGAAGAGAAGATTTTCTTGCTGAGTACACCCATCTGCTAATTTCAAAACAAGCTGGAAGTCTAGGGGCGGGATAAACTTTCAAGCATTGGCCCCTCACAGCACCACCTAGTGGACAATAAGAAATTAACACAGGGCCTCTGAGTCCGTGAGGGGAAACGCCCCAGGCCTAAATCCCTAGAATCTTGGCTGTTTACACATCGGAGGGAATCATGAGCAAAGAGGAAAGAAATGGCGAATAAATAGTAATATAGCGTCAATGGAACCTGAATTCAGTACTTCTTAAAGTTATTCTGAAGAATATAACATGTTGATAATGGCGAGAATGGGAGATGAAACATCTGCTGAATTAAAATTTTTACAGAAGTGTCAAAGAATACTACTTAGATCTAATGCTTTCATTCATGTCTTTTTTTTTTTCCTGAGGAAGATTAGCCCTGAGCTAACTAATGCCAATCCTCCTCTTTTTGCTGAGGAAGACTGGCCCTGAGCTAACATCCATGCCCATCTTCCTCTGCTTTGTCCGTGGGATGCCGACCACAGCAGTGCTTTTGTGAAACGGTGCCATGTCGGCATCCGGGACTCGGCCAGCGAACCCCAGGCCGCGGAGAAGCGGAACGTGTGAAGTTAACCGTTGCGCTACTGGGTGGGCCCCTCATTCATGTCTTAAGAAAGGGTAAAGATTGCTGAAGTGCTTTTGCCAATGTTTTGATGTTCAAAACCCAGGATTTTTGTTGATGTCAACATTTAAATATGTCTTATTGTATTTTGTCACATAAAAATTTGTTTGGGCCAGCCCCATGGCAGAGTGATTAAGTTGGTGGGCTCAGCTTCAGCGGCCCAGGGTTTCCCCAGTTCGGATCCTGGGCACAGACCTAGCACGGCTCATCAAGCCATGCTGAGGCAGCGTCCCACATAGCAGAGCCAGAAGGACCTACAGCTAGAACATACAACAACTATGTACTGTGGGGCTTTGGGGAGAAGAAGAAGAAGAAGAAAAATATTGGCAACAGATGTTAGCTCAGGTGCCAATGTTAGAAGAAAAAAAAAAAAACATGTTAATGCCATTGAGTTGACTTTGACTCCTACCGACCCTGTGTACAGCAGAGCAGAGCCCTGCCCGGTCTTTTTGAGCCATCCTCTCACCTTCCAGTGCTACATCCGACAGTGCCCTGCTGCTATTCACAGGGTTTCGTGGCCAATGTTTTCATAAGTTGGTGGCCAGGTCCTTCTTCCTAGTCTGTCTTAGCTGAGAGGCTCCTCTGAAACCTGTCCACCGTGGGTGACCCTGCTGTATTTGAAATCCCAGTGGCAGAGCTTTCAGCACCACAGCAACATGCAGCCGCCACAGTATGACAACCAATGGATAGGTGGTATTGCCGGACTAGGAAACAAACCTGGGCTGAGGCGGGGAGAGAGCCAAATCTTAACCACTAGACTGCCGTAGCTGGCAATTAAAAATTATTATTAAAATATTTCATCATAAAAACATAGTAATATAGCCTCAGGAGTAAAAAGAAGATTGAGCCTAATTTACTTCACCTTAAGTTACAGGGATCCATTGGGGGAATAATTAAACTAATATCCTCCCACCCCACTCATCCCAAATATAGAGACCGGGAGAGTATGTGATGCCTCAGCCCCTCATATTGATTTTAGCAGTGGCTTTCAAATTCATTTTCCTGCAAACCAAGGTAAGGACTACATCTTACATCCTAACCCAATACTGATTTATACATATATCTGAAACAAAATTATCATGTGACATATTTACCCTTGTTAAGCATCAGTCTCTGCTATTTTCTATTCTACTCTGTTCGAGAAACAATACTGGTCACAACTTTCTAAATTGATTTCATGACCCACATTTTTGAAAAACACTAGCTTATGTGCAAATCTTTGTCCTATATCAAGTGATTGACACTGATTTTGCGTAAGGAAACGTGCCCCTGCAAAATTGAAAGCAAATTCACCACGTACCTTTCCTGCTGCCGAGCCTCTATATGTACTTGCTCTCCTCACCTGCCTTTCTTGAGATGTGAGCCACGGTCTTCTTCGAAATCCAACTCTGCTGCTAGGCATCCCCACCCCGTCAATCAGAATAAATGGTTTCTTTCTTTGCTCTCCCTCAACACAGTGCTGGTACCTCCACCATAGCACTTAATTCAATCTGCCTAGTACTTAATTAGTGATTTACATGACTTAATATCTTCCTTAAATGAAGGTTCTACCGTGTATTCATGATCGCATCCCTCCAGACTAGCACAGTGACTGACAGGGCCCAACAAATATCAAAATAAACTTTTATCAAACACTTAAGACCCAGGAAATTTAAAGGTTTACTGTGGTGAAGTCTTTTGCAAAGCAGATAATCGCTCCTTAGCAATGGTTTTTAAAGTATAGATCCCTCTAAAACATCTGAACTTACAAAGCATCGAACCCTACATACATGCCAATTAAATATTATTTATAAAATCTTTTTTTTTTTGAGGAAGATTAGCCTTGAGCTAACTACTGTTAATCCTCCTCTTTTTGCTGATGAAGACTGGCCCTGAGCTAACATCCGTGCCCATCTTCCTCTACTTTATATGTGGGACGCCTACCACACAGCGTGGTGTGCCAGGCGGTGCCACGTCCGCACCCAGGATCCAAACCGACGAACCCCGGGCCACCGAAGCTGAACAGGCACACTTAACCGCTGCGCCACCAGGCCAGCCCCTATAACATCTTTCTAATTGTGGGGATCCTACAGAGGGGATCTCAGGCTTCTGGTCTCACCCTGGGGTGCCCTGTCAAGGCCTCATTAACTGCTCAGCTGTGCAAGGCACAAATTACCCTTCATCTTGTTTCTCCACATGGCTTGTCAAATATTTGAGAATTTACTGTATTGGGCACTGGGATGTAATGATGATAAAAGCACCAGGGCTCAAGGAGTGCATGGACTAATGAAGGGGAAAAGGGCTAACAAGTAAACAGCATGACAATATAAAGTAATAGACACCATTACAAATGGAAGAGCGTTAAGGAAGCAGGTTAAGAGAGGCGACCATGGAAGTCTCCAGAGAAGACAACATTTAAGCTGAGATCCAAAGGTTAAGAAAGAGTTGATTTGGGAGAGGGGGCTCAGGAAGAGTGTTCTAGGCAGAGGGACCAGTGAGGGCAAAGGATTGAGGTTCAGAGACTACGGCTCATTCGAGGGACTGAAAGTAGTTCAGCGCAGTCGGCGCAGTTTGACCAGAGGCGAGGAATGGCAAAAGATGAGGCCAGGTTGTACGGGACCTCATGAGTCAGGCTAAGAGCTTTGAACTCCTGAGATCGTTCACTACAGCTCACTTCCCCCTCCGCTGGTCTGCACTAGCTGCTGCCTGGAAAGGAAGATTGTGATAAGTGAGGGGTGGAAATCAGAGAATATGCAAAATTAAGTGACAGCTCTATTTGGCAGTAAGTTCCTCTTCCTGTATCATTCGTTTGCTCCACAATGCCATCCTGGGGTGGCATCTGAGAAGGCAAAATTTCAAATGAGCTGTGAAGTAGGTCAAGATTATCTTCAGAAAGAAACAGTAAGGAAGAAACAAAGGCCCCATCGCTATGTGGCGTGAAAATACTGACACAGGTAAATTAACGTGTCAAATTAAATTTGTTCTAAGTTTATTATAACACTAATTCCTGTTCACTGAAGTCTGAGCAAACACATACAGAAATCACTGTTGCTAATTTAGCCATACACCCATAATTTTTAAAAATTAAAGGGAATATTACTCCCAACACTTGTCTTTCTGTGCCAAACTGAAGGGGATAAAACACCTCCTAGGAGCTGGAAAGAAAGAGGCCAAGGCAGACATGTTGTCTACTTGAGTTTATTCTGTTCTTAAAAAAAAAAAAAAAAAAAAAAAAGGGAGGTGAGGGATGGAGGGGGCAATAACCCTTAAACACTGTGAGCAGGAACCCAGACTCTGAGACTTGGGCGTACTCCCCGACCCTCAACCTCAGTTCTCCAACGGATTTCCACCCATGTGGTCTTCTTTTAAACGAGACACCCAAATCAGCAGCAAAAGTACCTGGGGTAGTCACTGAGACTCTGAACACTGGGAACGGGAGGGGGAAAAGTCCAAAAAATAGGAGTTGGGAAAAACAGGGAAGGAATGAGGGAGAGGCTAGGCTCTGGAGCACAGAGTTGGGCCACGAGAGGTGGAAGTGAGCCAGGATGGAGGGGTACCCCTCCTGACTGCTGCTGCCCACATTCCCCAGGACCCCAGAGAGCCCCATGGTTTGTCCTGCAGTCCATTCCCTATTCCCCAAAGGCCTCACAGGCCTAGCTCCAAGTCCTCCAGCTCCTCCTCCAGCGCCCTCCTCCTTGCTAGCTTCTCCAACTGCTCTTTGCTGGGCTGGCTGATTTCCCCAGCCTGGATCCGTTGCTGCAGCTCTTCCACCTGCCGAAGCTTCTTCTTTAGATTCTTTATCTTCTTGGCCTTTTCGGTGGTAGCAGTGGAGTCAGGCTGGTCAGAGGCAGCTGTAGGGGCTGGCCGGGAGCCCTGCGGAGCACTGGGGACTTGGGCTGTCTCTCCCAGGGACACCTTATCGAGAGTCCGGCTCAAGGCCTCTGCCTCCCCTTTCTCTTGCTGCTGCCGCCTTTTCTCCTTCCGCTTCAGGTTGCGTTTGGCTGTCTTGGAGAGACCTGGTTCACCACCTTCAGGTCTGGATGGGGTGACAGGCACAGTGGCCTCGGGGCTCAGCCCTGGGGGCAGTTCTGGTTTACTCTTGAAAAACTTCACGTACTTGTTCTCATACCTGCAGGGAACAGAAGATGTCAACAGTTTCAAAGAATCACTGACTTTTCTGAGCCCTTTTCTTAACCTTCCAAATCATTTCACCCTTTTCACTTTCCTGCCTCCTTCCTCTCCCTAGAGTTCTTCTCCAACTTCCCTCTGCTCTGTAGGTTTTAGGAGGGTCTCTAGGTCCTGAAGCTCTGGATCTCTGAATGCTATTTGGAAGTTCTGCTGAACAGAGGCCACAGGAACCGGACCAGTCACCTGTAAACCTCACTCATTCCTGAACCCCAGCCCCCTCCTCTTTCTCAGACAGTTGCCCCCTGCTTCCCTTTCCTGGGATCAGCAGATTCTTCCCTGAACTCATAGCCACACATATTCTTTCTTTCTGTAGAGACCCCAATAAATGCCCCTCCTCATGCCTAACTACGCACACTGGGACCTCTTCCTGGGGCACATAGCCTTCTTTCACCCTCCGCTGCTTGCGCCAGGTCCCGTCAGGTCGCTGTGTTGAGGCGATGTACTTGCCTGAAAAGAGAATTCAGTTGGAGTTACTCTTTCTAATTTTCAAAGAGTCCCCAAGAGGAAAGAATGTATGAATGCACATAGCCTCCCTCAGCACCCATCCACCCACTAAATGCGACTGTCCACTTAAGGCCCCTTTTCTCCTATCAACCCTCACTCCCTCTCTTGTCATTATTTACTGAGTACCTACACACTGTATAATACACCATCCCTGCCCTCAGGGAGGTTCTATTTTTATAATCCAGTTGGCAGGACAGGACAGGCACAGAGGAAGAATTTTTAAAAAACACGAGACAATAGCATGGGGACATCAAAAGGCAGTAAATGAATAAGAAGTTAAAAAGGGACAAAAACAAGGACCATAGGAAGGAGAAATGACCAGAGAAGACGTTGTAGAGAAGGAGAAGTCTTATTAAGATGGATGGTGAAAAACAGGTTAACTTTTAGGGATCCATACTATAGATCCAAAAGCACCATACACAGGATATATGTAAAGGATGTTTGTTGCTGCACTATTTAAATTAGTAAAAAGCTGAAAGCAACTTGAATGGCCATCAATAGATGAATGGTTGACTAGACACAGATCATCCACATGATGGAACACTATGCTGCTATGAAAGAGAATGTTAGATATGAATGCACTGACCTCGAACGGTGTTCATGATAAACCCAGTGAAAAGGCAAGGTGCAGGATAATGTGTAGAGTAGTAATCCTCAAACTTTTTAATTTCAGGATCTCCCTTACACTCTTATTTTGTAATTCTATGCATTTCACTATGCAATATTAAAAAATATCTGTTAATCTCATCAGAAAACTCTACTGAGAAGCTGTGGAGCTCCCAGGGGCAGAGACAAGTTTTCCAAAACTCTAATTTTTACTTGAAGGCTTGATTTTTATCACTGGCAACAAACACGGTCAGTTGTTTTCTTTGAAATGACGGGCTCACTTCCTTCATTTTCAGGAAAATGCCTATTGGATACCCAGGTCTGAATTAGAAGTTTGTGAGTGGTTCTTTCAAGTAAAAGTAGTGTTCCATGAAAAGGCAGTTCGTTTAGCCTGCAACTCGGACAACTGCGTAGTGCTTTTCCTTGAGATGCCATCTTACTCAGTGTGCAGTGGAGTGTTTCATGCTTACTTCCCATTTAGTCCACAGAGAACATTAAAAAGATGTGTAACTTTCAGTGATAAGATGAATAAGTCCTTGGGATCTAAGGTACAGCCTGGTGACTACAGTTAACAAAACTGGATCATATGCTTGAAAGTTGCTATGAGAGTAGAGCTTTAGTGTTCTCACTATAACAACAACAAAAGGGTAATTATGCGAGGTGAAGGATGTGTTAACCAACCTCATTGTGGTAAACATTTCGAAATGTACATATCAATGCATCAAGTAATTATTGTACACCTTAAACTTATATGTCAATTATATCTCAATAGAGCTGGAAAAAAATAAGTAAATAAAAAGATGTGTATTCAAGGGCCAAAATTTAATAGAATTAATAATTTTTATTGCATCATCAAGGGCATCCTTAAGTGAAACAGGCTTTATTTACTGCAAGCGCGTGGCAGTGAAGAGCACAAGGACCAGTACAGTTTGGTGCCACTGCTCTGATTACTGCTAAGGGGCCAGTGGTTTTACCACCTTTGCTGTTGTACCCTCAGTGCAAATTTCAACCCAGCAAAAACAGCAAATAACATCTTAGTATATTATGGAAATAGCTATCTTTGCAGACCTCCTGAAAGGGTCTTAGGGAACCCCCAAGGGTCCTGAACAATATTTTGAGAACTGCTGATGTAGAGTATGCTCCCATTCTTTTTGGGGCAAGGAGTAGCACTTAATGGTCCATATAGTCTGTGTATCGGGGCAAAGAGAAAGGTGTAGAAGGACACATACCAAGACACAAAGCCTTTAATGCTGGTTACCTTAAGAGGAATAACCTGGAAGAAGAGGTGGTAGAAACCATTAACCATTAATATATAGTTTTTTCAAAAAAACCTATAGATATCTTATGTTACTCTTTTTTTAAAAAAAAAGTATTACTTTTGTTAAAAAAAGAGAAAAAGATTTTTAAAAGAAAAGTAAAAAAATCAAGTCTAGGGCCTCCCACATGGATTATACATTGTTACATGAATTGGTTTTTTGTTCAAAATGCAATATCATTAATAAATTAAAACTAAAAAAGAAATTTGTTAAAGAAAGTGGGTAAGATGTGACAAGCAGAGGGGATGGGAGAAAGAAGAAAGGTGAGCAAAGAAAGGCGTGGATGTGGGAATGGGGGCAGGGACTGAGAGAGGAGAAGTCGAGGAGGAGTCCCGGTGAATCAGACAGTTCGTGGGAGGGAATAACAGGAAGCCAGGTAGGAGATAAGAAATGGGGCCAGAGCTTGAAAAGCCTTAAATACAAGGTCAAGGAATTTGGAGTTGATCTGGTGAATAACAGCCAGCCACTGAGGATACTGTTTGCTTAGCTGCAAGAGTTTGGAGACAAGAGGAACAACTGAAAAACGAAAAAATGGAGAGGTTTCATGGAGGAAGGGCTGAGACTAGAACTGGGCTTTGAAGAAAGAGGCGGACTAAAGAAAACGGAAAGGGAAGCAGAATGGATTGTAAACAGAAGCTTATTCTAAAACAAAATGTCAGATGTGGGGATGTGGAGGGCACGTTGAGGGGACTGAATAGACCAGTTCGGCTGAGTCAGAGCGCTGGTGTAAAGTCAACAGGGGTGAGGCTCAGACCTTGAAATGCCAGTTAAGGATTTTAATATCTGGCACATGGCATGCATTCAACAAATATTTGTCAAGTGAATGAATCTTTTATCCAAAGCAGTGCTTTAGGGCAATTAATCTGGCATGATGAGAAGGTGAACTGGAAAGGAAAAACATGGGAGACTGGGGAAATCAGTTAGGAAAAAGATTGCAATAATCCTGGCATGAGGGACAGAATTGACTGAAACAGTGAGAATGGAAAGGAAGGGACTGATGCCAGATACATCAGCAAAGAATCAGCAACACTTGGTAATTCACTGATGGGGGGAGTGGAGAGGGAGTTAAAGTCAAAAATAATTCAGCACACTTTGTTTTAGTAATCGCAATCTTGAGAATTTAGCATAAGGAAATAGTTCCAACATGAAAAAAACAAAAACATAAAAAAAGAAAGGGAGAGAGATAATTATTTGAACATTATGGTATTATCTATAAATAGCTAAAAATTAAAAATGATCTTTGCATCCGGTTATACAGAAACAGTTTATGATACATCCATTAAAAATGATAGGGGCCAGCCCTGTGGCCAAGTGGTTAAGTTCACGTGCTCCACTTTGGAGCACAGGGTTTCACCAGTTCGGATCCCGGGCGCGGACATGGCACTGCTCATTAGGTCATGCTGAGGCAGCATCCCACATGCCACAACTAGAGGGACCCATGACTGAAAATATACAACTATGTACTGGGGGGATTGGGGGAGAAAAAGCAGAAAAAAAAATGATAATCTGTGTGTGTGTGTAAGATTTGCCCTGAGCTAACATCCGTTGTCAATCCTCCTCTTTTTCAACTTGAGGAAGATTAGCCCTGAGCTAACATCTGTGCCAATCTTCCTCTACTTTGTATGTGGGACGCCTCCACAGCATGGCTGATGGGTGGAGCAGGTCTGCACCCAGGATCCGAACCCGTGAACCCCAGGCAGCCGAAGCAGAGTGAGTGGAACTTCAACCACCTGGCCACAGGGCTGGCCCCTGATAAAAATTTTTTAAATCATGTAATGTGATATAATGTAATGTAAAATGTAGTTATATATACACCATGATTTCATTTATTAAATATGTCAGGCTTATTTGGAAGTTTAGAAAAGAATGTGCAATGTGAAAGTTATGTTGAATGATTAGATTATAAATAATTTTTTTAAATTCCCATTAATGTTGTTATATGGTGGGTTTTAAAATTATCTCATTTTTTGTTTCAACCTTAGATGGCTTAGAGAATGGGTACACATAAGAGAGTGAAATTACTTCTGACCAGGCGATTTATAAAGATTTTATGGAGGACACAGCATCTGTTATGATCTTTGGAAGATGAGCTGGATTCAGACAGGTGGGGCGGGGGGTTATGAGGAAAGAGCAGAAAGGGAAGATTTCAGGCATATGGGACAACATCAGCAAAGGGACAAGTCACACTAGTAATCGTGCCCCTACTTAAAATTCTTCCTGGATTCCTGTTGCCCTCAGGATATTTACAGGGAGGCTGGAACCAAACACAAAAGGCCTTCTTGACCCCCTGCTCTCGCTAATCTCTAGCCTTTTAGCCCTCAGTCACTCACACTCTCCTCCTCCAGCCACTGAAACATTCAAAAATCTCACCCGCCAGTGTCTCTATTCTCTATGTCTTTTTGCTTTTGCTTCATTTGGCCTGGAATAGACTTTGCTTGATTCTTATCTTAGTTAATTCCTATTGGCCTTTAAAAGTCAAGTTCAAGTATAAACTCCTCAGTGAAATCCTCCCTGACCTCCCCACCCCAAGCCAAGTGAGAAGCTGCCCTTTGTGCATCCGTAGCACCTGCTTTGGCCTTCATCGTGCTCTATTGTTTAACAAAACTGTTGCTTGTTCAAGAGCAGGGGCTTTGATCTTTGAAGCAAATGGCCTGACACATAGAAGGCTGTAATTAATTCAAATAATGAATACATAAATTTAAGTACCACTTTAGAGAACAGCAAGAATCCAGTATATTTTTGGCAAAAAGCATATGTAATGGGAAAAGAGACTAGAGGTAAATTAGTCAGAATATGAAGGTATCCAATTTCCTCTTGAGTTTGGACTTAAGCTTCAGAATGTAGGAGAAGGTCGAAGGCCAATAACAGAGTATAGATGATGTGCTCAAAGTAATGCTTTAAGAAGATTAACCTGAAAATGTGTAACATAAACTAAAGGTAGAAAAAAACGAAAGCAATAGCCACAATGTGAGACAACTTGATTTAGATGGTCTCTATGGGTATTGAAAGGAAAATGAAAGA